TGCTTCTAAAGCACATAGCACATCTCACATCATAACTCTTGCCTCCTTTATTGTAATCACTTATTTGGGGACTGACTTCCAAGCTAGATTATAAACTACTTGAGGGAAGAGACTGTTTCTGTTTTATCACTGTATCACAGGACAGAAGGAGTTTATGGAGGTAAAACATTCAAAGTCCCAAAGTGGTATTTCAAAAACCCATCTCCCATCCCTTGAAACTGCAGTAGATAGATTATCTCCCCCAACCTCCCATTCCCACTTTTTCTACTGCTGCTTGTGATCTTTCTTCATCGCCTGGGAAAGAATTTGGCACAGTGGGGTCTTACAGATTCTGACTCAACTGGTCTTGGTGGGTCCAGGCAATAGTACTTAGGAAAAAAAAAAAGTGTCACTAGGTGATTCTAATGTGAAGCTAGGATTAGGAACAAGTGCTGTAAGCAGCACTCTCCAATAGAACTTCTTGCAATGATGGAAATGTTCTATATCTGTCCTGGCCAATACAGTAGCCAATAGTCCCATGTGGCTATTGAATATTTGAAATGTGGCTAGTGTGAGTCACACATTCAAAGATGTGGTGAAACCCATGTGAAATTGTTCACTACAGAATTGTAAGTAAACAGAAGTAAGCCTGTGCTTACCTTGCTTACTGTAAGCCCTTGCTTACTGGTTAATCCGCCAGTGACTGTGACTGATTAGTAAATTTTTTATTTTACTTAATTTTATGTCACTTAAATGGCTACATGTGATTAGTGGCTTTCAACAGTGCAATGCTAGAACAGTGGTTCTAAAACTTGAGTGTGCATCAGGATCACCTGAAGGGCTTGTTAAATCACAGATTGCTGGGCCCCATCGCTAGAGCTTCCAATACAGTAGTTCTGAAGTGGAGGCCTGGTGGTGCAGTGGTTAAGAGCTTGGCTGCTAACCAAAAGGTTGGCAGTTTGAATCTACTAGCCACTGTTTGGAAACCCAGAGCCTGAGAATTTGCATTCTAACCCATTCCCAAGCGATATTGATGCTGTTGGTCTGAAGAATATACTTTGATAATCATTGCTCTAGAGCTTGTTAAAAATACAGACTCTCAGGCCCCATCACAGTTCTACCAAATTAGAATCTACATTTCACCCTATCATTCAGGTTACTTCTATGAATGTTAAAATTTGAGAAATACTATTTAGATGATCTTGTGTAAATCAGACAATTCCGCATTCACCCCTATTGAATACAGCTTTTATGCTGTAGAATTACTGTCATACCCCTACTTAGCCTTCATCTTTTCAAACTGATTT